AAGTAACAACTTCGATACTCTTAAAGGAACTCGACACAGAAGTTATTCATTATGTAACAACTTCAGTACTCTAAAAGGAACAGAATACGGTTGTTATTCATGAAGTAAGAACTTCAATACTCTTAGAGGAACTCAACACGCACGTTATTCATTAAGTAACAACTCCAATACTCTAAAAGAAACTGAATACGGTCGATATCCATCAAGTAAAATCTTCAATATTCTAAAAGCAACTCAATATGGACGTTATTTATCAAGTAACTATTTTAATACTTTATAAGGAACAAAACACGGTCGTAATTCATCAAGTAACAACTTCAATATTCTAAAAAGAACTCAATTCGGACGTTAATCATGAAGTAACAAATTCAATATTCTAAAACGAACATAATACGGACGGTATTCATTAAGTAACAACTCCAATACTGGAAAAAACTCCACACGGTCGTTAATCATCAATTAAGAACTTCAGTAATTTAAAAGGAACTAAACACGGACTTAATTCATTAAGTAACAACTTCAATACTCTTTAATGAACTCCACACGGACGTTATTCATTATGTAACAAATTCAATACTCTAAAAGGAACTCAATACGGACGTTATTCATCAAGTAACAACTTCAATACTCTTATAGGAACTCAATAAGGACGTTATTCATTAAGTAACAACTTTGACAATCTTAAAAGAACTGAATACGGTCGTTATTCATTAAGTAACAACTCCAATACTATAAAAGGAACTGAATACGGACGTTATTCCCCAAGTAAGAACTTCAATACTCTTAAAGTAATTGGACACGGACGTTATTCATTAAGTAACAACTCCAATACTCGAAAAGGAACTGAATACGGTCGCTATTCATCAAGTAAGAACTTCAATACTCTTAAAGTAATTCGACACGGACGTTATTCATTAAGTAACAAATTCAAAACTCTTAAAGGAACTCGACATGGACATTATTCATCAAGTAACGTGTTCAAAACTCTAAAAGGAACTAAACACAGATGTAATTCATCAAGTAACAACTTCAATACCCTAAAAGGAACTCAACACGATCGTTATTCATTAAGTAACAACTTCAATACTCTAAAAGGAACTGAATGCGGTTGTTATTCATGAAGTAAGAACTTCAATACTCTTAAAGTAATTCGACAGAGACGTTATTCATTAAGTAAAAACTTCAAAATTTTAAAAGCAACTGAATACGGTCGTTATTCATCAAGTAACAACTTAATATTCTGAAAGGAACTCCACACGAACGTTATTCATTAAGTAAAAATTTCAATACTTTAAAAGGAACTAAACACGGACGTAACTCTTCAAGTAACAACTTCAATATTCTAAAAATAACTCAATTCGGACGTTCTTCATCAAGTGACAAATTCAATATTCTAAAAGGAACTCAATACGGTCGTTATTCATCGAGTAACAACTTCAGTACTTTAAAAGGAATTTAATAGTGACGTTATTCATGGAGTATCAGATCAATACTCTAAAAGTAACTCAACACGGACGATATTCATCGAGTAACAACTTCAATATTTTAAAAGGAACTAAACACTGACGTTATTTATAAAGTAACAACTTCAATATTCTAATATGAAATCAACGCGTACGTTATAAATCAAGTAACGTGTTCGATACTCTAAAAGGAACTGAATACGGACGTTATTCATCAAGTAAGAACTTCAATACTTTTAGAGGAACTCAACACGCACGTTATTCATTAAGTAACAACTCCAATACTCTAAAAGGAACTGAATACTGTCGTTATTCATCAAGTAACATCTTCAGTATTCTAAAAGCAACTTATTTATGGACGTTATTTATCAAGTAACTATTATAATACTTTATAAGGAACTAAACACGGTCGTAGTTCATCAAGTAACAACTTCAATATTCTAAAACGAACATAATACGGACGGTATTCATTAAGTAACAACTCCAATACTGCAAAAAAACTCCACACGGTCGTTAATAATCAATTAACAACTTCAGTACTTTAAAAGGAACTAAACGTGGACGTTATTCATCAAGTAACGTGTTCAAAACTCTAGAAAGAACTCAATACGGTCGTTATTCATCAACTAACAAATTCAATACTTTTAAAGGAACTCAACACGGACATTATTCATCAAGTAACGTGTTCAATATTCGAAAAGGAACTCAACACGGACGTTATTCATTAAGTAACAACTTAAATACTTTAAAAGCAACTAAACACTGACGTTATTCATTAAGTAACAACTTCAATACTTTGGAAGGAACTAAACTCGAACGTTATTCATCAAGTAACAACTTCAATATTCGAAAAAGACTAAACATGGACGTTATTCATCAACTAACAACTTCAATACTCTAAAAGGAAATCAACACGATCGTTATTCATTAAGTAACAACTTCAATACTCTAAAAAGAACTGAATACGGTTGTTATTCATGAAGTAAGAACTTCAATACTCTTAAAGGAACTCAACACACACGTTATTCATTAAGTAACAACTTCAATACTCTAAAAGGAACTGAATACGGTCGTTATTCTTCAAGTAAGAACATCAATACTCTTAAAATAATTCGACAGGGACGTTATTCATTAAGTAAAAACTTCAATACTCTAAAAGGAACTGAATACGGTCGTTATTCATCAAGTAACAACTTAATATTCTAAAAGGAACTCCACACGGACGTTATTCATTAAGTAAAAATTTCAATACTTTAAAAGGAACTAAACACGGACGTAACTCTTCAAGTAACAACTTCAATATTCTAAAAATAACTCAATTCGGACATTATTCAACATGTGACAAATTCAATATTCTAAAAGGAACTTAATACGGTCGTTATTCATCAAGTAACAACTTCAATACTCTTAAAAGAATTCAACATGGACGTTATTCATTAAGTAACAACTTCAGTACTCCTAAAGGAATTCAACATGGACGTTATTCATCAAGTAACAACTTCAATATTCTAAAAGGAACTCCACACGGACGTTATTCATTAAGTAACAATTTCAATTTTTTAAACGAAACTAAACACGGACGTAATTCTTCAAGTAACAACTTCAATATTCAAAAAATAACTCAATTCGGACGTTATTCATCAAGTGACAAATTCAATATTCTAAAAGGAACTCAATACGGTCGTTATTCATTAAGTAACAACTTCAATATTCGAAAAGGAACTAAACATGGACGTTATTCATCAAGTAACGTGTTCAAAACTCCAGAATGAACTCAATACGGTCGTTATTCATCAACTAACAAATTCAATACTCTTAAAGGAACCCAACACGGACATTATTCATCAAGTAACGTGTTCAGTATTCGAAGAGGAACTCAACACGGACGTTATTCGTGAAGTAATAACTTGAATAATCTTAAAGAAACTCAAAACGGACGTTATTCATTAAGTTACAGCTTCAATACTTTAAAAGGAAACCAACCCGGACGTTATTCATCAAGTAACAACTACAATATTCGAAAAGGAACTCAACAAGGACGTTATTCATGAATTAGCACATTCAGTACTCTAAAATCATCTTATCGCGGACGTTATTCATCAATTTACATCTTCAATATTTTAAAAGGAACTCAACACGTACGTTATTCATTAAGTAACAACTTCAATACTTTAAAAGGAACTGGGCACCGACGTTATTCATCAAGTAACAACTTCAATATTCGAATAGGATCTCTACACGGACGTTATTCATGAATTAGCACATTAAATACTCTAAAAGCAACTTAACGAGGACGTTATTCATGAATTAGCACATTAAATACTCTAAAATCAACTTAACGCGGAAGTTATTCATCAATTTACAACTTTAATATTGTAAAAGGAACTCAACACGGAAGATATTCATTAAGTAATGTGTTCAATACTCTAAAATGAACCCAACACGGACGTTACTCATTAAGTAACAACTTCAATACTTTAAAAAGAACTAAACACGGACGTTATCCATTAAGTAACAACTTCAATACTTTAAAAGGAACTAAACTCGGTCGTTATTCATCAAGTAACAACTCCAATATTCGAAAAGGAACTCAACATGGACCTTATTCATGAAGTAACGTGTTCAAAACTCTAGAAGGAACTCAATACGGTCGTTATTCATCAACTAACAAATTCGATACTCTTAAAGGAACTCAACACGGACGTTATTCATCAAGTAACAACTTCAGTATTCGACAAGGAACTAAATCGGACGTTATTCATCAAGTAACGTGTTCAAAACTCTAAAAGGAACTAAACACAGACGTAATTCATCAAGTAAATACTTCAGTACTCTTAAAGGAACTCAACACGAACGTTATTCATTACGTAATCTCTTCTGTACTCTACAAGAAACACCAGACCTACGTTATTCATCACGTAACCACTTCACTACTCTAAAAGGAACTCAACACGTACGTTATTCATCAAGTAACAACTTCAATACTCTAAAAGGAACACAATACGGACGTTATTCATCAAGTAACGTCTTCAATACTCTACAAGGAGCTCAATACGGACGTTATTCATCAAGTAACAACTTCAATACTCTAAAAGGTTATTCATCAACTAAGAACTTCAATAATCTTTATGGAATTCAACACGGACGTTATTCATCAATTAACGTTTTCAGTACTCTAAAAGGAACTCAAAACGGACGTTATTCATCAAGTAAATTCTTCAATACTCTACAAGAAATACAATACGGACGTTATTCATCAAGTAACAACTTCAGTATTCTAGGAAATAAAATACAAACTCTATTTAAGTTGTATTGTTAATATGAAGTATTTTAAGCTGAAAAACGTTTAATACGAAAGAAATTCAGTGTCATAATTCGGATTTGTCAAAGTTTAAAATACCATACCAACAGATAGATGTTAAATGGAGATTAAACTATGTTTTTGTTGTTGTTAACACATTTTTTGTAAGAACTTTCGATTTTAAACACATTAATATATATATATATATATGTGAAACTCAGGACTGATAAACTAACCTTCGTTTTCTTCATAAATTACGGTGAATGTTTTCCATTTCTTAGTGAGTAGTAAGTCAAGATAGGCTCTGCCCAGAATTGGCGCGTGCGGGTAGACATTCACTGTAAACGTGTCTGGCAGGAATCGGTACTCCCAGTTAATCTGCAAATGTGGGATTTCTTTAGCATGGCAAGTGGACTGGACCAGAGAACTGCTGGACGGGGACTTTGGCCCCAAAATGGCTACGACTCCATCTTGTATTAGTTTACAAACTAAATGTTTTGGATAGAAAAGCAATTAATATGGTGAGTTTTTTTTTCTGCTTTGAAATTAGTTTTTGATAGAATATAAAATTTTAGATATTTATGAAGATTCTTTTCTAAGCCTTAATTAGAGATAAGATACTCAATCTGTTTTATAATAGAAATAAACCAAATATTTTGTTTGTCTGTCTGTTTTTGTTGCTGTACACAAGGGCGACTTAGCCGTTTCGAGTTTTGAACTGAGGGAACACAACTAGCTGATTAACAGGTCAACCCTAACTACAGGCATTTTTTTTTGTCTGAACGAACAATACGATTTGATTGGCACCCTAACTACTATCTAACCTATTCATTTACTTCATAATATACAACGACGGCCATGGTAGATGCCTAGACAGAGTTAAAAGAGCACGAAGCTGACTACGCAGGGTGGCAATCTAATGGTGAACTCTGCACTGATGAAACTATTGACCTTACACAGTGTGGCAATCTAATGGTGAACTCTGCACTGATAAAACTATTGACCTTACACAGGGTGGCTATCTAATGGTGAACTCTGTCTGCTCTGATGAAACTATTGACCTTACGCAAAGTGGCTATCTAATGGTGAACTCTGTCTGCTCTGATGAAACTACTAACTTTACGCAGGGTGGCTATCAGTGGTGAACTCTGCTCTGATGAAAATATTGACCTTACCCAGGGTAGCTATCTAACGGTGAACTCTGCTCTGATGAAACAATTGACCTTACCCAGTGTGCCATCTAATGGTGAACTCTGCACTGATGAAACTATTGACCTTACGCAGAGTGGCTATCTAATGGTGACCTCTGCTCTGATGAAACTATTGACCTTACCCAGGTTGGCTATCTAATGGTGAACTCTGCTCTGATGAAACTATTGACCCTACCCAGGGTGGCTATCTAATGGTGAACTCTACTCTGTTGAAACTATTGACCTTATCCAGGGTAGCTATCTAATGGTGAACTCTGCTCTGATGAAACTATTGACCTTACCCAGGGTGGCTATCTAATGTTGAACTCTGTTCTGATGAAAATATTGACCTTACCCAGGGTGGCTTCTGTATATCAATGTGTTGTCCTGAATATAAAACCACTTTACAGGATTTGGTTTCATTTTAATGTACAGTGTTTTGTTTTCTAATGTCACTCCATCAAGTTGCTCTTACTACAGGATTTGGTTTCATTTTTATTTTGTCGAGTTTAGTTTTGAATCACACGTAAATAAGTAGTGAACATTGTTTTCTGTTTTACTACCAATAGTCACAAAGTACAACCCAATATTGCTACGTGACAGCAATTCTAGCAAAGAAACCTAACAGCTGAAAACAAAGCCAAACACAATAGCTCGACACTACCTTTATTATAATAGTAAGACAAAGGTGAAAATGGTGTTAGTTATTTTACACGCTTGTGAACATTTCTGTTTTGTATTTGTTATATACTTTCATATTTTGAATTCGAATGATACTTTATATGACACCAAATTTAAGTGGCCAGGTCAGAGGTCCCATGGCCCAGGTACAACCATTTTTAATTTAAAATTAAAGTACTTAGCCTAGATAGCTATTCAAGGAAAGTAATTAGCCAGAACCTAGCCTAGATGGCGATTCAAGGAAAGTAATTAGCCAGAAACTAGCCTAGATGGCTATTGGGAAAAAGTAACTAGACAGATCTTAGCCTAGATGGCTATTGGAGGAAAGTAGATACCCAGCACTTAGCCTACATGACTAATAAGGAAAGTAACTAGCCAGCACTTAGTCTAGAGGGTTATTGGAATAAAGACACTTGTCAGCACTAAGTCTAGAGGGATATTGGAGGAAAGTAAGTAGCCAACACTTAGCCTACATGCTATTGGAGGAAAGTAACTAGTCAGTATTTAGCCTCGATGGATATTGGAAGAAAGTAAGGAGCCAGCATTTAGCCTACTTGATTACTGGAGGAAAGTAACTCGCCACCACCAAGCCTACGTGACTATTGGAGGAAAGTAACTAGCCACCACCTAGCCTAGATGGCGATTGGAGGAAAGTAACTAGCCAGCACTTAGCGTACATGGCTATTGGAAGAAAGTAACTAGCCAGCACTTAGCCTAGATGGCTTTGGAGGACAGTAACGAGACAGAACTTAGCCTATATGACTATAGGACGAAAGAAACCAGTCAGCACTTAGCCTAGAGGACTATTGGAAGAAAGTAACTTGTCAGCACTTAGACTAGAGGGTTATTGGAGGAAAGTAACTAGAAAACACTTGGCCTACATGGTTATTGGAGGAAACTAACTAGCCAGCACTTAGCGTGCATGGCTATTGGAAGAAAGTAACTAGCCAGCAATTAACTTATATGGCTATTGGAGTAAAGTAACTAGCCAGCAAAAAGCCAACATCACTACAGGAGGAAAGAAACTAGCCAGCAGTAAGTCTATAGGGTGATTTGAGGAAAGTAACTTGTCAGCACTTAGTCCAGAGGATTATTGGAGGAAAGTAACAAGCCAACATTAAGCCTACATGGTTGTTGGAGGAAAGATTGTATCCAGCAATTAGCATAGATGGCTTTGGAGGAAAGTTACTAGACAGAACTTAACCTACATGGCTATTGGAGGAAACTAACTAACCAGCACATAGCCTACATTGCTATTGGAGGAAAGTAACTAGCCAACACTTAACTTATATGGCTATTGGAGTAAAGTAACTAGCCCGCACAAAGCCTACATTAATACTGGAGGAAAGAAACTAGCCAGCACTTAGTCTAGATGGCTCTTGGAGGAAAGTAGTTAGCCAACACCTAGCCTACATGGCAATTGGAGGAAAGTAGTTAGCCAGCACTTAGCCTACATGACTATGGAAGGAAAGAAAATAGTCAGCACTTAGCCTAGAGGATTATTGGAGGAAAGTAACTTGTCAGCACTTAGACTAGAGGGTTATTGGAGGAAAGTAACTAGAAAACACTTAGCCTACATGGTTATTGGAGGAAAGTAACTAGCCAGCAGTTAGCATGCATGGCTATTGGAAGAAAGTAACTAGCCAGCACTTAACTTATATGGCTATTGGAGTAAAGTAACTAGCCAGCACAAAGCCTACATTACTACTGGAGGAAAGAAACTAGCCAGTACTTCGTCTATAGGGTTATTTGAGGAAAAGAACTTGTCAGCACTTAGTCCAGAGGGTTATTGGAGGAAAGTAACAATCCGACACTAAGCCTACATGGTTGTTGGAGGAAACTAACTTACCAGCACATAACCTACATGGCTATTGGAGGAAAGTAACTAACTAGCACTTAGCCTACATGACTATTGGAGGAAAGTAGCTAGCCAGCACTTAGCTTACATGGCTATTGGAGGAAAGTAACTAGCCAACACTTAGCCTATATGCCTATTGGAGGAAAGTAACTAACTAGCACTTAGCCCACATTACTATTGGAGGAAAGATTGTATCCAGCAATTAGCATAGATGGCTTTGGAGGAAAGTTACTAGACTGAACTTAACCTACATGGCTATTGGAGGAAACTAACTAGCCAGCACTTAGCCTACATGACTATTGGAGGAAAATAATCTGTCAGCACTTAGTCTAGAGGGTTATTGGAGGAAAGTAGCTAGCCAGCACTTAGCCTACATAGTTGTTAGAGGAATGAAACTAGCCAGCACTTAGCCTACATGACTATTGGAGGAAAATAACTTGTCAGCACTTAGTCTAGAGGGTTATTGGAAGAAAGTAACTTGTCAGCACTTAGTCAAGATGGTTATTGGAGGAAAGTAACTAGAAAACACTTAGCCTACATGGCTATTGGAGGAAAGTAGCTATTCAGCACTTAGCTTACATGATGTTGGAGTAAAGTAGCTAGCCAACACCTAGCCTAATGGTTGTTGGAGGAAAGTATCTTGTCAACACTTAGTCTACACGGCTTTTGGAGGAAAGTAACTGGTCAGCACTTAGCCTACATGGTTATTGGATGAAAGTAGCTAGCCAGCAATTAGCCTGCCCGACTTTTGGAGGAAAGTATCTAGTCAGCACTTAGCCTACATACTATTGGAGGAAAGTAGCTAGCCAGCACTTAGCTTACATGGCTATTGGAGGAAAGTAAGTATCCAATACTTAGCCTATATGCCTATTTTTACTTTCCTCCAACAACCATGTAGGCTAAGTGCTGAATAGCTACTTTCCTCCAATAGCCATGTAGGCTAAGTGTTGTCTAGTTACTTTCCTTCTAACCAACACATAGACTACATGGCTAGTGGTGGAAAGTAGCTAGCCAGCACTTAGCCTACATCATCATTGGAGGAAAGTAACTAGCCAACACTTAGCCTATATTCCTATTGAAGGAAAGTAGATAGCGATCACTTAGTCTAGAGGGTTATTGGAGGAACGTAACTTGTCAGCACTTAGTCTAGATGGTTATTGTAGGAATGTAAGTGGCCAGCACTTAGCCTAGATGGATATTGGAAGAATGTAAAGAGCCAACATTTAACCTACGTAACTATTGGAGGAAAGTAGCTAGCCAGCATTTAGACTACTTGATTACTGGAGGAAAGTAACTAGCCAACACCTAGCCTACATGATTATTGGAGGAAAGTAACTAGCCAGCATATAGCCTACATAACTACCGGGGAAAAAATTAGATAGCACTTAGTCTAGATGGCTATTGTAGAGAAGTAACTAGCCAACATTTAATGTATATGGCTATTGGAAGAAAGTAGGAAGCCAGCACTTAACTTATATGGCTATTGGAGTAAAGTAACTCGCTAGAACATAGCTTACATTACTACTGGAGGAAAGAAATTAGCCAGCACTTAGCCTACATGACCATTGGAGGAAAGTAACTAGCCAGCACTTAGCCTACATGACTATTCGAGGAAAGTAACTGGGCCAGCACATAGCTTATCTGACATATATAGTGTTATTATATTTTATGGTACAAAAACACAGTAGGTCAGGTGATTTATATCAATATAGTGTTAGTGAATTTTATTGTACAGAAGCCCAGTAGGTCACTTGACTTA